AAGAGAACAGCACCAACACAGGCATGGAGCCCGGGGTTGAAGGATGCTGTGCATTTGGCAGTTAGTTCACTGAGCTCAGCAAGTGCTTACTGAAGCTCCCCTGCGGTGCAGAGTGCAGTCACTAAGGTGGGCAGTAATTCTGAGCCCCTAGGCTGTTCCTATTGAGGAACAGTTCCTACTGAGGAAATGTTCTATTGAGGAAGGTTCACACGGGCTTGGAAAATCGCAATGTGACAGGACAGCTTAAAATGTGGTGGCTCTTTTTTGAATTCTGACTCTGTCCTTGGACTCCAGCGCTCTGGCGCCCAGGGATTCTGAGAGTATTCCATACCAGAAAAGTACAGCACCTGGCTGCATTTGACTTTAAGCCTCTCTTGGTCTTTTTAAAGTTCCAAAGTTTGTAGCCAGAAACAGTCAGTTACACAGAACCACGCACAGGAGCCAGGACACATACCCAGGTGTGTCTGACTCTTGCCAGGCTTCTCTCTTCATTTTTCTCCACTGGATCCCAAGCACAGACTCACTGATCAGTAACAGTTCTTAAGAAAGAATTAAAACTTTTTGGACAAATACCCCCACACACAAACACACTAATCGTGACCATCCTAAAAATAACTTACAGAAGAAGAGGGGCTGTTAGATCCTTCTCTCCTGCATGAGCCATGCAGATTGGCTTGGGCAAAAGCAGTTTGAGCCAATCTGCTAGGTTCCACATCCAGAGAAGGAGGCCGCCTGGCTCCAGCATTCCCCCTCTCTGGCATGTGTGAATCTGTATTTCATTTCAGCGTGAGAACTCAGGCTCTCTATGTAGATCACTGACATCTTGGAGCTGCATTGTTTGCTTGAAGTCAACTGGAATGAGTTATGAGCTGGCAGGAAAGTGGGGAAGTGTCACTGCGAAGGCCTCGAAAAGGGATACCGACTTGCTTGCAGAGCCATGAGAAGTCAGAATCACCCAGCAGAGAACTCTTCAAGAGAGTTTGGTTGTAGCACATCACAGCTGAATGGCTAAAGAGATCATTTTGGGGTCAAGGGAATTTGAGAACAGATCCCCATGGGGAAAAAATGACAGGAATTGAGAACATTTAGCCTGGAGAAACAGACACAGCTGTTACCATGGGCTGAGGCAACAAGAACTAGTGATGCTACCATTAGGGTGCTCCACCCTGTTCAATAACGAGCTGAGGGAACACTCCAGCAGCCCCTGTCAAGGAGAGAGGTAGAACAGAGAGATAGCTCATACAGCTGGAGGTGGGGAGGGGCAGGTCAAGCAGTGACTTCTGAGTTCCAAGCATTAGTGATTCTTTGCAAATGGGAGCCGCAGCCTGTGTGACAGGGGTCAGAGGTCCTGGAATAAAAGTTCCCCCACCAGTGCTAAATAGATACTCCTACTGATAACTTATTATGAGCTACGATTGCCGTAATTTAGACTCTAGATGCAGGATTGGAACTGGCATCCTCCTGCCAGTTAGTCAACGTGTAGTTTCGAGCAAATGGTTTCCCCTCTTTGAATATAATCATTCTTCCTCTGGGCAGTTCTCACCAGTATGTTCACCGTGAATTTGAAATGTTACGTAAAGTTCCTAGCACTTGCTGTAACTAGCCTTTAGTATACAGTAGTCAAAAGAACATTGCTGATTTAACTTCTGCTTGAGCTGAACTGTCAGGAAGCTGTTCTTGGAAAATGGCAAGATAAAGAATGTGGGGAATAATCAGACAAGGTGTCCCTGGTGGGAATACCAGTGATGAGAAGCTCCTGCAACATGAAGCCTAAAACCACGGTTCTCAGAACAAAATTCTGTGACCCTTTGCGGAAGATGAAATTATCTTCAGTATTTCTCTTAGAAAAGAGAGCGAGGTCAACAGCAAGACTGGGGCTTACAGATTTCAGTCTTTGTGGGAAGCTGTTTACTGTGGTCCCAGTGTGAGCTTTCTAGACCCACCTCTCTGCTCTCATAGCATCCAGCCGCAAACAGCTTCCTGGGGGTTAGGAAGCTGGATCAAATGTCAGGCCTTCTGAGATGTCGATCAGCTAGGCAGTATAACCACCGCCTGTCTCCTCCAAACACAATGATCAGCAGTCATATAATCTAGTGTGCTCAACCAACAGATTTCTGATCGGATGTACATGTACAAAGGGATAAGGGTCGCACTGGGGAAGGAGCGCTCAGATGATCAGCAACTGACATTGTTGGGGTGTTGCGAGTGTTCTCAAGAACTGAGCTAGCATACATGCCTTGATTAGAAAGAAGGCACTGACCAAATTGTCTTCCTGTCACTTTGAGTTTCATATTGATTTTTCTGCTTGTAATAGTTTGATTCTGCTCACTAGTCTCTGTTACCATAATCACTCTAATATAACCATCTCTCACCTGGATTATTTCAATAAACTCTAATTAATTTATATCTACTGGCTCTTTTCCATCTCATCATAACCATTAAACTTATAATGACCCTTTGAAAACACATACATACATTTAATCCCACCACTGGTCTTCTCCCATTTAAAATCTTTAAGTGCTTGGAATAGTTCATTAAGGAAAAGTTATATAAACAAAACATGTCCCATATAACCTCTACTGGGTCTGACCCTACCAGTCTTTCTGGCCTTGTCTTTCACTCTTCTTCGTTTTGTTCTTGTGATTCTATGCCATAACCTTCCTTCAATGATCAGCTCTTGTTTTCTCTGACCATCAAGGATGCTTTGTTTCATTTTGAGACGTCTTCTTTCCATGTTTCCCAGAGTGGCCTAAAACTCCTATACTCAGCCACTCTTCCTACATGAGCCTCTGGAGTAGTTGGAACTGTAAACACATGCGTCTATATCCAGCCAACAAATGGTGACTATGTTTGCCATCTCTTGTGCTTTGAAATCCCTTTCTTGTCCTCTTTGTCTGTTATAGGCTCTACAGCCTTCATATTTAATGGATATATCAAATTCTTGGCAATATTTTGCCTAATACTTTTCTTTGATCTCCATAGAATCATACATTTATACTTTGTATGCTGGTTACACTGAAAATTTGCATTTGTTTTTGACATTATTTGATTAATGCTAAGGTTTCCTTATCTACTATGTGAATAAGATACTATCTACTGTCATTCACTTATGTATTCCCTGGAGCCTATCATAGTGCTGGGGGAATAATTCACATTTCATGAAAAAATGAATAACTGATTATTTAATTTAATGAGCTAATGGGATGGTGAATGATTCTTCAGAGCCACACTACTGAGGTTCAAATTCTGTCACTTCCTAGCTTTGTAATATTAAAGATGATTTTACTGCATTGTTCCATAAAGTTGTTCTCTGTGAATTGAAAATAATTACCTTATTGAGTTTTAAAATTCTGGAATGAGTTAATATACATTGAAGTCATAAAATAATTCCTAACAAAGTAGATACTGTATATGGACACTGTATTAATGTATTAATAATACACTCAGTCAGTCCAACATGTGGATTCCTTAGGTCATAATCACCAGGTCCTTGAAAAACATCTTTTTTTATAAAAATAGAATTTTAAGTATCTATGTAAACAAGAAACTTTGTCAAAAACTAATAGACATAGAAGTGGCTGATAAGTCTTTGTTGAGCTGTTCAGTTTTGACTCTGGTATAAGGATACTGCTGTTAACACCATGTCATCGGTGTTTGTTCAGCATTTTGCTATTTATGTAAAGTATCCAAGGGAGCAGGGGTTTAGGAATTTGAAAACAACTTGGCCTCGTAGATTTATCAGTAAGTTGAGCACATCTCAACTTACTGATGTGAAACGATATGAAGTCTTGCTCATCCCAGTTTCTATAGTCCAGGAATCTGAAAAAAGCCTGACTTCACAGACTTGTTTTAGGGGTCCCCCATGGTTTAAGATGGTGTTACTAGATGGCATGAGAAGCTACTTTCATCTTGATTTATTCTCATGCTTAGCCAAGTTAGCCTCAGCTAGTGGAAATCTTTGTCTCCTACCCATGTGGATCTGCCACTTCAACAGCTTCACGTGTTGCTGTTTTCTTCCAGAACAGACAATCCACATATGAAATCTGTCATGTCCTTTAAGACTTAGACTCAGAAGTGACAAAGCTTTATGCCAAAATCTTATTGATTATGTAGGTTTGCTCTATTTGATCTGAGAAAGTACTATGCAAAGGCACACATATTAAGGATTACCAGTGTTAGGTCACAAAGGATGCCCCTCAAAAGTAGTGGGTGAAAACATGGATCCTTTAGGATATAAGTGGGTTAGGAAGACTGATTTTACAAATGTATTACTCATTAAAGAATTAATGGAGAAATCCATTAAATTATTAAGAGAGTGGTTTTGTCTTAAAAAAAAAAAACAAAACACAAACACTGAACTCTGTCTCTAAAGCTTCTTGTAATATGATGCTTTCTGCCTTGTTACAGTGCAGCAAGAAGGCCCTCATCAAAAGCTGGTGCCATGAGGGCCGGGGCTGGGATTGGGATGTGAAGAGGTTAAACAAACAAGCAAATAGATAGATAGATAGATAGATAGATAGATAGATAGATAGATAGATAGATAGATAGATAGATAGATGGATGGATGGAAGAGTAAAAAGAAAGAAAGAAGGTACTGTGAGGCAAGTCACCCAAAGCAAACCAGGATGCCAGTATATCAGTTAACCAACTGGCACAAATGCTTCAGGCAAAGAGAACCAAGAGTGCAGGCTCCAGAGAAATGTGCCTGGAATGGAGCTTTTCTTCTGTGTCCACAGGTTAGCCCCATTATCCCCATGCCTTTTGGTTCATGACCACAGTTGTAGACTTGTCTAGACAACCTCTAAGAGCCTCTCAGAAAGGCTAGCTATTCTGCCTCGTCAGTGGGGTTGAAGAGCCCTCAGCACAGCCGTGCTCTGTGTGAAACATACACTGCTCTGTGTGTCCAGACCTAATTTTCCGTTTCTCCCCTGCCCTGCTAGACACACGTTGGCTGGCTGTGGGATAAGTCACTGCCCTCACGGTTCTGTTTTCTTTTGCAGCAACAGCGGCAGCTTGACCTCCTGACGATAACCAGCCCCGGTGAGTAGGCGCTGAGTGCCATTCTGCATGGAGTTTACCATAGTCAAGTCTTGTAGCTTCTCCAAATGCAATCCCTGGTCCCTCTGCCTCTCTGAAGGAAAACAGTTAATTCTTGAGGTTAATGACCACCCCTCCCCCTTCTCTGTGCCTTGGGCACTTTCCTTTTCCCTTCCCAGCTCTGTACTGCCTCCTGTCTCCTGTCTACTGAAGGTAACAAGGATGCTGCTCTGGGTGACAACTCCATTCCCTGAGTGGTGAAATTCTCCCCCCAAAATCCCTCACTGGACTCAGAAAGCAAGAAATTGTTCTGGTCCCCTGGGAAATAAGTTTTAAAAGTACAGGGACTGGAGAAACTTCCTGCAAGGTGCTGTAGAATGAAGGTAGGATGGCTTATAAGAAAGAGCTGGTCTGCAAGGTGATGGGGTTTGGTCACTGGCTGGTGTGCGGGTCAAGATGGCTTTTGTTTTTCTCCATTAAGGGAGAGCTGAGTCTCAAAACAAAACAAAACAACCAAAACAATAACAAAAACAAACAAACAAACCTGTAGCCATGGGACCAGAAGGTCTTTTCTTTGCCTGAGGTTTGACCTCTAGCCCAGTGAGAGGGTAGGCTAAGTTTAGTGATGCAAGAGAGCTATCTTACTTTGGTTTGGAAAGTCGAGGCTTAACTGAGCTAGAGAAACAATTTACTTTTCACTGATGCCAAAAGATTTCATGACCATTTGTGAGAGGGTGTGGCATGGGTGACATCCAGAGTACTTACGAACCCAAGTGACCAGTTCCTGTGCCAAACATTAATACTTTGGTTACTGGACTGTGAAGGAATGTGCTCCTGGTGAAGGAGCTAGTACAGTTCTGCAGAGTGGTCATGTGCAAGATGGCCACTCCCGGAATCACTCTCAATAAATGTAGAGACATTCAATAGTTTAGTAGCTGATATGGACAAACAATGCTGGCCCTGCCTTCCCTTAGGCCAGCTCTGCTTGGAACCAGTTAGCAAAAGGCCTGAAAACTTGCACTCAGCAGGCAGAATCCTACCACAAGGGCTAGGTACCCGGTATATGAATAGGACAGTGAGCACAAGTGTAAGGTGCATTTACCTACTTAGGGTGACACATTTCCATGTGATACAGTTCTTTGAACTTGATGCATCAGAAGAATAAATACAGAAATAGTTATTTTTGAGACAGTGATTCATGTAGTATAGAATGACCTTGAACTTTCTATGTTGCTGATGATGACCTTGAATTCCTGATCCTTATGATTCTACCTCCCAAATGCTGGTATTACAAGCGTGTGCCACCATCACTGGCTGGAAATGCTCAAAAACTCTTTAATATATCCTATAGTATAAGCTACATTCTGGACTTATATGATTAACACTCCTAGAAATTCCGTAATGAGTTGCTCACTTGATTGACCTGCCACTTCCTCCTCACCAAGGTAGGGCTCGGGGATCACCTTCGTCCCATCCTATTTAGTGTCGCTGTTGGAAGAGTGTTTTGCTCAAGTATGTATGCACTACCCAAACCGAACGTATCCACATGCCATCACATCTGGACACATCCTGGTGTGGTGCCTACATGTATTTAAGAGAGGGTTCTAGAGCTGTCTTTGACTGTTTTAGAATGGCATTTTCGGGTAAACTGTACTTCTTTTGTGCTAGCCTTGACTGCTCTTAATTGCTATACACGGACTTAAACAGAGTACTTCTGTGTTCCATGGTGCTCCTTTTAGACAGCTGTGGAATTGCAAGTGTCTCTGCACTGCCAGAGTTTGAGCGGTTTATAGTCATCCTTCCTCCTGGATGAAAACAGAGTATCTTCTAGGTCAAGGTTTCCCAAAGGTTATGTGTGGCACCCTGGTATACTGAAGTGGGCTCTGCTCCCAAGCTGTTGTGAGATCCTGCTCTGCTGACCTCTCAGGGGCATGAAGAGAGCCGCAGCAGGCACAGCTCCCAGGGTGCAGCCTGGACTCCAGAGCGCCAGAGAGCTGTTACCCATGTGTGCTTTGTCTTGGAAAGGTTGGTAAGCACCACTTAATCATGGGTTGTAAGAAAGACTCTATTCCATGTCAAAAACACTTACGTTGTCTGTCTCTGCCCATCAAATTCATTCTAACTCTCCACATTAACAGAAGCTTCAGCCACCAGCACTGGGCTTGCTGCCTCTCTGGGGCTGCCACGGGGAACACATCTATTGGCACTCCTTATCAAACCATCCAAAGCTCGGAGCAGTCTGCTGTGCTGCCATTCTGCGCAGACTAGAAGCCTTCTGAAATACAGACTAGGAATTTGTAAACTTTAACAAAAATCTGTATTTTTTTTTCAAAATTTTGTTTCTGTGTTGTGAATAATTCCCAACAGAAACAAATAGAGATATAACCATGTCAGCATTGTGCTATTTATGCCCAAGTTCCTATTTTTAAAAAGAGGTGTAGTCGAAAATTTTTAGTATTTTTCTTTTATTTTCTCTCCCCCATTCTATAAGTAACCACTGTGATGTATTCAATATTTCTCAATATCTAGGCATTGAAAAATGTGTTGTTGTGTTACCAATTCCTCTAAATCTCACATTGAAAAAAAAGCCGTATTCCATTGCTCTTTCCATACTCTTGATTATATAGTACAGGTTGGTTTGTGATGATACACAAGGTTCTGGTACACTCATCTTAACTGCTGTATAGCCCACATGTGATGGCATTGCAACTTTTCCATTTCATTGGTCATAATTTAGATTACTTATAGCTTTGTCCAATCACAAAGAATGGTGCTAATGATACTTGTACATGCCTCCTTGTATGTAAACATGAGAATCTCTCTAAAGCATTAACCCAGGAGAGGAACTAGTCAGAAGCACCAAGTTTGCTATATAATGAACAACTGTCCTGTAGTTCGGAAAATCTATTCTTCCAACAACAGATACAGGTGGGTGGTGCACGCCTGCGACCCCAGCACTGAGGGAGGGAGAGGCAGGCCTATCCCGGTGAGTTCGAGGCCAGCCTGGTCTACAAAGCGAGTACAGGACAGCCAAGGCTGCCCAGAGAAACCCTGTCTCAAAAAACCAAAACCCCTTTCCCCAACTCCTCAAAGCTCAGCTCTGTTGTACACAGATTTTGCCAATCAGCATGATGAACATAAAATGGTGCCCCGGTGTGCCTGACATACGAATCCCTGGGTACTGGTAGGTTGGTTATTTTTTGTTATCTTCTGGTCATTGCTGCTTTCACTTCCTCGATGATATGACTTTTCTTAACCTTTGTATGCAGATTATTGGGTTATCTCTGTCTTACTGAGTCACAATTCATTATTCTGAATATATCCCTTATATTCACTGCAAAAACTCCAGTGTGGCTTGTACTTTTTTTTTTTAATTGCTGCTGTTGTCTGCCATACATTTTCATATGTAGAAGGTTTTAGTAAGTTTCGTGTTAAGTTTATCAGTCTCTTGATTTAAGAGCTATTTTGTGACATAAATCCTTTCCAACCTGGCTATAACATTTTCCTAAGCCAGGTCTGATGTTTTATATATGTAACTCCAGCATTTTGAGGCTGGGGTGGGAGGATTGCCTCAGCTTCAAGCCAGTCTGAGACCATCTCCAAAACAAACTTGTAACATATCTATGTGTGTGTCTATGTGTGTGTGTGTGTGTGTGTGTGTGTGTGTGTGTGTGTGCATAACCTTTAATCACAGCAATTACAAGGCATAGACAGTCGAATCACTGTGAGTTTGAGATCCAGGCCAGTCAGGGATACATAGTGATAGGCTGTCTCAAACAAACAAACAAGCACAAGAAAGAGGGAAGGGGAGAGAGAGAGAGAGAGAGAGAGAGAGAGAGAGAATGTACCTCTAATGTTGGATTATTCCTGTGTTCTATCTGAGCCTTTATTTGTCTCATCAATAACTAATCTTTGAATACAATATCAGCTAGGGATTTAATTATTTTTAATTACATATGATTAATTCATTGTCTCAGAGCCATATGAGACAATCCTGTCTTGTGACAACTGTATTTCCATCACGTTAGTTTTCCTATGTGCAGAATCTGTTTCTGAGCTTTAGTCTGTATGTCTCACTCTTCCCCAACTCTCCAGTGTTTTATGTAAATGAATTACAGTTTTAATATTGTCTTTGTAACTTATTGGAAGACATCCTTCCCCTTTTCCCCTTTATCCTTATCTTTTGAAGGTTGTAATTATAGATTTTAAACTATAGTTCTTAAATAAAATCTGATAATCAGTATTGAGACAACTTAATTTAATTCATTAGTGAACCAATGAGACATTTCATCTGGTAAAGGCACTTGCAGCTAAGTCTGACAACCTGAGTTTAATCCCTGAAATCCATGCCTAATTTTTGTGTCAACTTGATACAAGTTAGAATCGTCTGAGAGGAGGAAACCGCTACTGAGAAAATGCCTCTGAGAGACTGACCTATCGGCAAGCCTGTAGAGCATTGTCTTAATTAGAGATCAGTTGGGAGGGTTCGCTGTATGTTGGCCCTGGGTGCTATAAGAAATCAGGTTGAGCAAGCAAGGAACAAGTGAGCCAACAGGCAGCACTCCTCCATGACCTCCACATCAGTTCCTACCTCCCAGATCTCTGCCTGGTCTGAGTTCCTGCCTTGGCTTCCTTCAGTGGATTCTCATTCAGGGTATGTAAGTCAGATAACCCCTTTCCTTACCAAGTTGCTTTTTGTCATGGTGTTTAATCACAGCAACAATATCCCTGACTCATATGCTATGTAAAGACAGGACAGAAACCACCCCACAAAGGTATCTGTCCTCTGACCTCCACACATGCACTGTGACGCATGCTCACGTACACATTACTGATAAGTTTAGAAGTAATATATTTACATGTAATATAATTCAAATATAATAATACATCTGAATGTATTTCTTCTCCCATGCGTGGGCCTCCTCTCTATCATGTGTTTATCTTTTCTTAAACATTACTAGGGAATGAACTCAGAGGCTACAGCACTGGTTAGCATGTAGCTG